GGGGGGGGGGGGGGGGGGGGGGGGGGGGGGGGGGGGGGGGGGGGGGGGGGGGGGGGGGGGGGGGGGGGGGGGGGGGGGGGGGGGGGGGGGGGGGGGGGGGGGGGGGGGGGGGGGGGGGGGGGGGGGAGAGAGAGAGAGAGAGAGAGAGAGAGATCAGAAATAAGATTTCGCCGGCGGGGTCAAAGCCGGATCACCGAGGAGCTGAAAATGGGAAATGGAGAATTGACTTCCACATTCAACAGATGGATCTTCCATGTGCCAGTCTTCCTGTGCACTTCGATTTCGCGTACACAAAAAAACGAAATGGACAGAAGCCTGCAATCGGAATTAGAAATTTGGAATTTTTTTTTACTCGAATCCTCTCATCCATTTTCTATTGATCTAAAAGAAATCTTCAAATTAGAGTTAAAATATAACTATAAAAATCAACTTGAAAATAACTAATTATTGTAGTTCAACCAAAGAAAACAAATATATTATGAATTTATTTTTTCGATATATATAATATATATATTAGTTATTTATCAAAGCCAGATAAATTATTAAATCCAAATCTATTAGCAATTATAAGACATTTTCTTATTAAATAATTTTTCTACGTTGAAAATAGAAATGAAAAGAGGAGAAAGTCGGTGAGTAGGGTATTTTCGTCATTTCGAAGAGAAATTGGGGCCGTTCGAGCATATGCAAATTGGCAGCAGATAGAGACGGCAAATGTCACAGCGCAGTGTGCTCGACCGATTAATTAATGAAAAATAAATAACAATAACATCTTCTCTTTTCCTGTTTTCCCTCTGGAAATAAACTCGTGGAAAAAGCCGGTTTTTTTAGCCGACAACAAATTCGTTTTTTCTTTTTTTTTTCTTTTTTCTTTTTAATCAGAATGCACGCAGAAATAATACGGGATCCACTTCATAGTACGACGGTTGTAATTTTAAATTATAATTTCTCTTTTTTTTTTCCCTATTTCTAAATATCTTAAGGAAGTTTTAACCTAATCGTTTAATAACTACGATTTTAATTTCTTTTTGGATTTTCAGTACTGTACTTGCTTAAAATGACTGAGGTCGATTTGAATTTGTCGGTAACAAAAAAAAAAGTAATTTTCAAAAAAATCATTTTTTAAAGCATTTCTCTTATATAAAAACCGTTTCAAATTTAAACACACTTTGATATATATTGTATTTAAACACTCTTTGATATATATTGTAGCAACTCTACACTGTTCAACAAGTCAACAAGTGTTCCCTTCCCATGGTCTTAATAATATTAGAAAACAATGAGATTTGAATATTAAATTACTGTTCTTTAGATCGAAATATGCAAACACATCTATTGAAACCTAAATTCATGATTGTTGTTGAACTCTACCTTCATTTCTAGACACGGTTGTATGCATAATAATTCTTACCCACATATATCCTGCACGTGGACTCACTAAGTATGTCCATTGATGCACCCCCAAGCTACTATGGTTATGCACACTCACACTGTCATAATCAATAGAAAGATAAGAAAGAATGTAAATATTGTTGTGAGTGTACACATCTATACAATACATAACTATAGAAGTAATCAATGATTACACAGGGTCACACATTTTAAATTATTAGTAAAGTGATATAATGTCAAGTAACATTTTTATACATTCAATGACTTCATAATACTTGATCAACATTTTAGTTCATGGTATCTTGTATAATATATACGTAATCATGTTCATGGTATCACATATAACATATAAAGCCAGGCTCGTGAACATATATCACTTACAACATACAAAATCATTCAAACCAATAATACTACCATGTGTTATTCAAGCATCAAATTACTCGGTTCAACTTTTTTGAATTCTTAGTCTCTGGTTATAGAAAGCAAGTACTTGAGAACCTAAAATACGAAGCAGGGCAAGGCAAGTTATTCTCAAATAAGCACATGGGATTCCCCAAAATGGGTCATCGGAGGAAAATGAATCAAAGGATCTCCACTGCTCCAAGCCTCCGCCCCATATTCCCCTTTCTTCCCACCAAAGTTTCCCTCTCTCTCTCTCTCTCTCTCTCTCTCTCTGTATATATATAAAGCTCTATTACTTGACGTAAATCAAACAGTTTCTGACGGAAGCAAAGAAAAAAACAAAGAAGAGTGATGGCTGATTGGGGGCCGGTTTTTGTAGCTGTGATTCTGTTTGTTTTGCTAACTCCAGGTCTGCTGTTTCAGCTTCCTGGCAACCGCAGGTGCTTGGAGTTCGGCAACTTTCACACCAGTGCTGCTGCTATCATCGTTCATTCAGTTCTCTACTTCGGTCTCATTTGCGTCTTCTTGCTTGCCATCAAGGTTCATCTCTATATTGGTTCCTAATTCTTCCCCGATGCAAACACTCCCCCCTCCAGGATCTCCTCTACATTGGTTCCTAAATCTTCCCCCCTGATGCGACATTTCTTGTTTGTTTCTAATTCTCTAATGTGATGTTATTTGAGTTCTTCGTTTTCTTTTCCGTCGATGTCCTACAGTTTTCCATGTGTGTGAGCCAAATATCGATCTTGGTGTAACATATAGGTGATTTTATCAATTCAAAGCTACGATGATCTTGAGACTGTGTTGGCAAGGATTTTTTTTTTTTTTCCTTTTTTCCTCCCTTTTTTTTTTTTTATTGCCCAACAGGCATTTCAAACCGTGGCAGTTACATACGATCAAAAGGCTAGAAAACAATGGAAGAAATGAACTGAAACAGTCTCAAAAGTAGGAAGATTCTAACACAACGTTACTCCCACAACTTCAAAAACAACAAACTGTGGTCAATAATTCAAACCTCGTCTTGCCTAAATATTTCTAGAGGCAGCACCATTCACATTAACGAGGGCATCTTTACTCATATTCTCCTGTAAGTCCCGCGTGCTCCATCCTAAATAATTTAACCTTCTGGTTGAACCAAAGCCACTTCATATTTACATTTGTTCCCAAGCTGCAGCAACAATAATAACAAATAAACAAAGTTAATAAACAAGAGCATGCCACAAAATGATCAAATTTATCGGTACTGCAAAAAATTGCTTAAAACTTGAAACAATAGTTATATGCTGCAACCTCTATTCAAAAGTAGGCTTCCGACACAGAGCAGATACATAAAATTCAGTTGGCGCTACGAGCAAACCCAACCTAATCCCTCCAAACTCCAAATAACAGAGATGAATACCAATTATAAGAATTCAAGTACCAGAAATCCAAAAAATTCAAGTACAAGAAGTCCTACAAATTCAAGCATGCTGAACGTGTATGTACACAAAACACCCAAATTCAAAAAAAAAAAATAATAATAATAATAATTAAGCATTCTCATACTTGGCGTCTACATGGAATTTGAATGCATCGATGGAAGTATGAGAAAATAATTACCAAGATATCATATAGGCAATACAGCATTAATATTCTTGCATTTGATAAAGTACTAGCCTAGCTAAAATTTCCTTTAAATTCTTCCTGTAATATGGCAAATGACTCGTTCACTAGTTATTGTACAAGGTAGTAACGAATCTGGCACAACCAGAAACAGAAGCCTAAGAAAATTCAGATTTATACATGTGTGCGTATTGATATAGCCAACCTTCGTTAACAAAATTCAAACTACAAAATCAAGAGAGCAAACATTAAAAGACAAGAAAATTCTGACGTTACTGAACAAGATATAGCCAGATATTCCTCTTCTACTCTCTTTTTTCTAATATTGGGGGTATCTAAATCCACTCCTTGCATTTACACTCACGGCCCACCTCATTAATTCACGTGTAGCTACAATAGACATCAAGGCTTATCATATGTTATAACCCACAGATCGAAGTCGCTATCCCCATCCTAACCATTACAACACCGACTTACCAAATCTCACAATCCTTTGAAAATTTTGACACATACACAAACATGTGTTTATATTGACTATAATAACAACTTCCATAGAGAAAATTCAGGTAACAAAGCATACAAAACGAAGTAAACATCAATTATTGACAAGATACTTCGCAAGGCAATGGGCAAATAGATACGAATTTTGCATAAGAAAAGGCAGAAGCCTTGAGAAAATTCAGACATGCAGATAATATGCATATATTAGTGAAATCAAACTTCAAGCAACAAGATTCAGATAAGGAAATGAAGCAAAAACCAAATCTAATAAACACAAGGAAACAGAGGCAGAAAAGAAACTCGCCATGAAAATCTTTCCGGGGTGTTGGAGCTGTGAAACAACAAAGTATAGAGCGTCCCAACATAGAGACGCTAGAAACGATCCCAACCATGTAGAAAATCATAACGAAAACGAGAATCCAGGGCATCAACATGAAGCCAAGGAAGAAGGTAACCGATCCACAGAGCATCAAAGCCAGCGAAATCCCCAAAAGCAGCGCCGCGAATCCAGTCGGTGACATCTGGGACGAAGGAAAAGTTATCGAGGAAGACGAAATAGCGGAAGATAATTCCAGCACATGATCTGCAAATGGCACCGGCGGGGGCGGCGATCGGAGAATTTTCAAAAGCAGAGACGAAATCTCATGCAAAAATCCAGATCGGGGATCTTGTTGAGGCCTACTCATCGTCATCCTCTGCTCAGAAGCAACCACAAAGACCCCAGCAAAGATCGCAACAAACAATCTACGGAGGTCGTCGCTAGAACCGAGGCGAATGGATAATCGTAAATGATGATGAGGGTCGGCCAACCAACGAACGACCAGAAGGGATGAATGGGGGGAAATGGCAGAGAGTTTGGTGAGATGTGGATAAGTGTGAAGAGTGTGTGTGGAGAGAGTTGGATTACCGAGAAGAATGAATAGTAAAATGACAGAGAAGTCGGCTGTGAAACGGTGTGGCGAAGGGAGTCGGAGTTCGAGTTGAATGGAATATGGATTTTTCTGTGGATTAAAGTCTTTTTGAATGGAGACAAAGGGAAGATAAAACAGAGAGAAAACTTATCCCCAACGAGAGAATCCAGGAAGGCGGGAGAGTAGGTGGTCATGCGGGATCCAGAAACGTCCGACACTTGTTACAAATTTATTATTGAGGTACGTGAGAGTCAAATGTGACTACCCTACTCATATTTTGTCATTACTAATTGGCACTGTCTGTGAACAAGAAAAAGGGTTATGCTTGAGACTTGCACATCCAATTCTCAGCCCAACATCGACTTCCATGAAGATGATTTTGAGTAAGACCATCATGTTGGAAATGAATGTAGCAAACTCGAGAGCCAATTTATGATTTTTGAAAGTCGAGTATTGGAGAGGAATAAATAATCAGAAGAGATGGAAAAAAGAAAGAGGCCTTAAAATTGATAGGTTAAAATAGACCTTTTTATGGAAAGGAGAAGGCATCTGTCAGAGAAAAAGCTGAGCGTTTGTCTTACTTAAAACAGAAAATTGAGTCTCGCGCAAAAAGAAATTCGGAATGCGTTTTTGGCGTTTGCGCTTCTCATATTCATTTCGGTTTCTCTGCGTCTCTCTCCTCCGCTTTGGCATCCTTCTATTGGTCGCCCAAATCGTCTCGCCCTTGCGGTTGCGGTGCTTTTTGTTTTACTCAATGCCTCCTCCATTGGCCGTCGCGCAAAAACAACTCAGCAGATCATGCATCAGATCAATCTTTCGGTGAGGCGATCTCGCTCTCAAAACTCTATATCTACCGCTCAGATTATGAATTCTGATGCCTTGCGGTTCGGGTTCGATTGATCGATCGATGGCGGTGAATTCGAAGGCTGTGCTTCGCTCGATCTGTAAAAATATAAAAATATTAGTACGATGAGCTAGATCGGTGGAAGGACGGTAAACTGCTCCTTCTGCTGCATGCGATCTGATTTTCGTTGGAGAGCATGGTATCTCGATGATCCAGGTAATGATTGATGATTAGTTTGATTATATATATATTGCTACTGTTTTTTGTGATTCCACTTTGTCGACTCGTTAATAATAAACTTGCTTTCTCGATTACCTTGAGATCTGATGGTTTAAATCTTGGCGTTTCGCCGGGCTGGTGACATGCGTCGCCGCCGGCATCTGAACGGTAAAACAGTAGTAAAGATAATCTTGAGAAAATCGAAACAGAAGAGTGGATTGTGACCAAAAAAATGTGGTCCAACCGGTAAATCTGAATTAGACTATAATTAGATCACAATCCACTCTTCAAAACGACCTTTGGATTGTGACCAAAAAAATGTGGTTCAACTGGTAAATCTGAATTAGACTATAATTAGAAAATAATGACAATGACAATAATAATAATAATAATAATAAAGGAAAGAAAAAGAAATTGAAGTAGAAAACCAGAAAGAAATAAAAGTGACCAACAGGTAGCACGACTAAGTCTTTGCACAATTTCTATATCTAATAATTGTTAAATTTTGGAAACAAATAACTGCATTTTTAGAAGAAATCAAATAATTACTTGTTAATGGACTTAATTTCTGTCAACTTCGAATTAAATAAATTGTCGATTAACGAATTTTATTTATAAATAATCTATATAAACATCGTGGACTAAAGAGCTCCATGTCAGGTTAAATTATATTTTTCCCCCTCAATTGCGGAGTTTTATTTCCATTAAATTTTCTCTCTTAAATCCTCATTTGAATTAAATATGATTTTATTTATTGGTCTCGTTAGACTTAATCAACCTATAACTCACATTCTCACTAAGCTCTCTTATGTTTTTTAATCCTCACCCACACGCAACTCCCTATCTCTGCCATTACTCTCTCTCGAACGTCACCCTCTAGAAACACCCTCTTCCGACGCCCGACTGCAGCGACTCTCACGCCGGTCGTCGTCAGTATGTCCCTCTCGCACAACATGTATATCTCTCTCTTTTCGGGTTCCTTCTCCCTCCGATGCTTGTTTTTGCTCCACCACACAACACCCCAGTACTGCCGTCTCCCCTAGACAACCGCCAGACTCTGATAGTCGCTGCCGATTCTGCACTGGGGGCAAAACTTACATTGTGTTCTTGATTTCAAGTTCTTTTTTTTTTTTTTTTTTAATCTACCTTGACTTCTAATTTCTCTTTGGTATGATCTAAACGGTTCTCAATCAACACCTACTTGTCCAATCTCTTCTGTCTAGTTTTAGATTAGTTTTAGGGTTGAGTTCATTTGGTTTCGAGAACCAAGATTGGTTAAGAATCACTTGGGTAACTTTCTTATCTATTTTTTATAATTTTCAATTGCTAGTTAAGTGTTTAACCCTTTGTATTAATCTAAATATTGTTCGAAAGAGGGATAGCGAAAGAGATAGGAATGGATAGGAATAGATGAAAGCTACGTGCTTTATTATTGTCTACTGACTGCTTTATTATTGTCTACTGACTCAATACCTAAAGGCTTACACAATTTCAGTATTTATAGCTTATACACTGGATCAAAAATAGTAAATCATCGGAATCTAGAAAGAATTTAAATCTATTAACAATCTCCTAAAAATCTCATAGTTTGAATATTTGAATCATATCTCTACTAAATCATATCTTCATTTTGAATCATATCTCAACACTCCCCCATGATTCAAAGTTGTAGAAGTAAGTATAGAGCTTTTCTTCTGACAAGGCCTTCGTAAGTATGTCTGCTTTAACCCGTACAATGTCTGTCTCAGCTTGTATACCTTTGTTTCTTTGTCTTCCTTTATGAATCCCTCTGGCGGTCTTACATAAACCTCTTCTTGTAAATCTCCATAAAACTTTTCGTTTGGTAGGTCATCCATATCCCATGTTTCATCTTTCT